TCCTCCTTCATGAAAATGATTGTGAGAAAATGCTTTCACTAAGAAAGATTTTAAAGATAGTGATTGTAAAATTGCATTCTCGAATTCGATCATGGTTACGGCATCCCTTTCCATAATTTGAATTGTGAGGTTTGGCAGTTAGTCTTAATTGTTAAGACACACATATGAACTATCTAAGGCAAAAGTGTATAAGTTCAAGAAGCCTTGATAAAAGATTATCAAAGCACTAAGTATTAGAAACAAAGAACTTAAGAAATTCAATAAGTATTGTTTTTCTGAAAGTTAAGATGTTTATGAATACATGTCGAAGCTAGTGGGAGCATAAGTGTTATGTTTTATAATAATCATCATGATAGTGGGAGCATAAATGTTATGATTGTATGATTATTAAGGCAAGTATTGCATAGTTGGCAATATTAATTATAGAAAACAAGAGTCATACTTTGCAAAGTTGTAAGAGTTGAAAGGTTGTTTTGCTATAATTAAGGGAGAGAATATTATGCTTCATTTCAAATCTAAAGGATTAGGTTGTGAAATGTTAATAAACTTAGTCAAGGGTACATAGTGTATTCTTAAAGTTTCGATTATGATTACGGCATTCCTCTTCACAATTCGAATTTTGAGAACATAGCAAATAAAACATTATGCGCCGTGTCCCATACGCTTCGAGTATAGGATCGATTTCAAATGATTTAATGTTTGACCATTCTAAGATTTTCCAAATGTCTAGTGAATTTAGAGGGAAAAGGGACTAGAATCGGTTTTGACTAAAATAATTAAACAACTATCAAAGGACAATCCAAAGTTCGACGAGGATTGGTTGCTTGTGAGTAGTTGGAAGTATAATATTGGAAATTATAGAAATGTTTCCATATTGGATGGACAATATCGACATCATTACGAATCGATAAGATTCTATTAAGAAATTAGTTTTCATATGGAAAATATGGAAGCGTGTCCATATTGGGAAGTAAATATTGAAAATCTATGACTAGATTAGAAACCTTTATGCAATAGGATGTTCAAAGGAATGTACCTTGAGTGAAAGACATCGTATCTAAGGAATTATCTTGTAACAATCTCCGATGGAGGACTTTGTAATATCATTGGCAATACTCTTTGTGACTTTTGTGCAGTGACATTACGAAAGGATCGTTGCATGAAGTGTTAGAATCTAGCATATTCTATAAGTAGCGAGAATTTGATATTCTTGCACTTAAGAAAATGGATTTGGAGTTGTAAAATGAGAATGATTGGAAATGTGTTCAATTTGTCTATTTCACAAAAGTAAGAACCATAGGTAAACATTGTGTGCGTGCTAGGAGCATGGGACAAGTGTAATGATTCAAGTAAAAAGTTGATTACCCGAAACGACAAATAATGAGTAATCGATATGGTGATAAATAAAACGTGTTTTGTTTATACTCAAAGGTTTGAGGCCATATGGGATTAGTATTATTCTTGTGTTTCACTTTGCATGTTTTGACTTCCAGAATAATTGAGTTTATTAAGAATAATCGAATTATTCAAACGGGCCACAGTCGTTCATATGTTGGAAGTAGATATGAATGAAGACTGTCATGAATTGGTGTGTGGATTGTCTAGAAAAGTATTAGACATAAGCAAATGTTTGTTGCAACGTTCATGAGTGCTTATGAATATGATTTGAGCATTGGATTAAACCCACGCTCACTTGGATCACTATCTCGAGTGATTAGTGAGATGATAACATCTTATATTCTTGAAACCGAGATGTGTGAGTTGTATCTTGCGAATCGGTTGCACATTGATAATATGTAAACGCACTAGTAACTTGGGGTTATAAAACATATTGTTGTGTGTGATTTGGTTAGTGAGTGCAAGCAAGCATTGTATCAAAGTTTATCCGTTCCTTTTATCCAAGGTAGGATAAAAGCGATATCTTTGGGCCCCTCGATGGTTTAGTGATGACATACGTAAATGCTCGGCCGGGCTAGGGCTAATTTGATTTGTTCAATTAGTCTGTCGTCATAAATCAGAAATCGAGAAGTAGTACAAAGAGAATGATTACAAATCATATCTCATACGATATCTAGAATGGAGGAATATATGATCCCTTATCTAAGGACACGCGTATCTGATATGATCAGAGTTGACAGCGGCTTTGGAAAGCTACGATTGCATATCAGGATCTAAAGTCGTACGCAGAATAGTTGTTAGACTTATCCAAGTGGGAGACTGTTGGATTAGTGTCTAAGTCCATAACTATTTTAGTATGTACTTGACGCGATGGTGCATGGTCCTTTTGGGTTGCCTTCACCAAAGCATTTTGATTGGAGAAATGAATAAAGAGAGAGAAGATAATATGATTTATTAATATGTTATAAGAATAATATATTAAAGGAGAAATCATATTTGTTTAATTAATATTGGTCAATAATTAATTAAGAATTAGTTTTGTGATCAAATGTAATTAATTAAACTAGAGGGGCTGATTTGTAATTATGTGATAATTACAAAATAAGGTAAGGATTATCTTATTTATATGGTGGACGAATTTAAGGTTGGAAAGCCTTAGAATTCGAGTATGATAAGGATTCAAGGATTATCTTATTGGTTGCTTAATGGATAATCAACTAGATAAGGATAATGACTGAAACCCTATCTCTACACCTATATAAACACCCCTAGGGTCATGAATTCGTGTATCCCTTCCCAAGAGGTCCTAGATACGAATTCTAACCTCTCACCTCTCTCTTTATACCTTCTCCATTTGTTTATGGTGTTTGTAAACCATTAGAGGAGTGACACTTGTGACTCTAAGCATTCCAAAGTCAATCCAAGGTGGAGTTGTGATTGTTATTGCTACATAACAATCAAGGTATGTTCTTAAACCCAATTATATGTTAATGCCGATTTCCATATGTTCGAATTAGGGTTTATAGTCTTGGATTCAAAGCATGTACAATAGAGAAACCTAGATCCAAGCATTAGGGTTTGTATGAGCACATAGGATGTCTTATGACCAAAACCCTTCAGGTGAACCATTAAAAGTTCTAGCTTTACACCCATGATTTAACGAAAGAAATTATGGTTTGTTCCTTGAAATCTCTTTTATTTTTGCGAGATATTTATGGAATGCCCAAACACTAAGACTTTTCTTTGCAAAAGATCCAGTTTCGTTTTTGTTTTTGAGATTTCTATAATTTTACCAAGTCACTATAAAATTATCAAACCTACTTGTTGTCATAGGCTACACTGGCCACACAAGTACTTCGTCCAACTTTCGTTCTTATATCAAGTTCGTAGTTTGGTTGAAGTGAAAGCCACCCTTAAAGTCGTAATTAAAAGTTGCCTTTCAATGTTTCTTAACAAACATTTTATCGTACTTCAACGGGTAACCACACAGACATTTCTCAGTCTCTCTTGACTTTTAAAGAAGAGATTCGTGCCCGTGATCATCAGTTCATGTCTATAATGACATCACTTAAATCCCATAGATATCACTTGTTTTATTTCTTTCTCTTTGGCACACCCTTGTACTAAAATGCATTGATTTTCCAAAAGTCTTGTTCGTGGTAATTCTAGCTCTTTTATTTTAATAGGATCTTATAGTTTCTCGCTTCCACATAGGCTTATTCAGGCGAACAGAGCTTCATTTATTAACTTGGAATATGAAGCGTTAGGGGATAATATGAAGAGTCGGGGAATGGATAAGATTTCAAACTAAAGGCATGTGAATTTGAAATGTCACCATTCATCACTCTGCCTGACATGCTTTTCGAGATGATAGTGTCAAATCACACCTTTTTCGGCGTTGTTTACGAGACCTTTATCTAATCGATGATTCGATTCTCTCTCTGGGGCAATTGTATAAAAGGGTTATCGATCATTGCGTTCTATTTTACCACTTTCAAGTACTTTCAAGAACCCTAAAAAGCGATTTTCCGAGTTTATCTTCTATAAGCACCTACAACAATGGCCGACTGTTCATTTGTTCAAGATCGAACCGCTTAATCCTCTTTTCTCTCAATCAATCCAAATCAAAATTTGATCTTGGATCTTGCACCATTCAAATACGATTCCTACATGCTGCCTATAGTGGAATGTCTCAAGTACTCACCGTTGGTCACTGTCCTAACCAAGATCGAGTTGGTTTCAATGCCAATGTTTTCCAAGGCTTATTCCACTGCGACATACCAGAAGGAAGCAAAGAAGATCATCTTCGAGATCTTTGACAAGAAAGCCTCGATTTCAAAAGCTCGATTTTGCTCACTACTTGGGCTAACTTACAATGACTCCATGGTCAACCCAGAGTCAATATCTACTAACCAAATATTTGATATGTTATATCACATGGGGTATGCCGACATTCTTACCACGATCACAAGGTTCAAGAAATCTTCTCTCCCACCACAATGGAATGGTTTGTTCACTATCACCTTCAAAGCCTTTTGTGAGAGAGTTGATGGGTCGGATTGTGCCAGAAAACTGTTTATGAAAATCCTTTATGGCCTTTACCATGGGATTAACCTTGACTATGGCTCAGTATTGTGGGCTCAGTTGGTACAGAGTATGAACTCTTCTTCAAGGCACAATGAAATTTCTTGTGGTCGTTTTTGGACCATAGTGGTGGAAAGGGCAATTCAAAAGTTTAATGTTCCGGTAATGTAGGATTCATTGAAGGCTTCTATCACCACATTCCGCACAACGAAAATCATCATAGCAGACAACTCCAAATTTTCTTCATAGGATCGATTCCTGAATCCATGTTTCGAAGCGTGTCTAGGGAAAGTACTATTTTTAAGTCCTACAAGATGAAACAAATTTCTGGTCTAAGAGAAATAACTCCTGAGATGCAAAAATCTTTGGATGATGCTGATAAACCCAAAAAGGGAGGAAAGAAGGGAGATAAGAAGAAAGTGGTTTCTGAAGGTCCATCAACACAAGTTTCCAACCCCAAGAAGTAAAATACCCAAGGTGCAGCTCCTTCTGCTCCAAAGAAGCGAAAGTTAAGAAAGATGACTTTGCAGCCTAGCTCCTCTTCCACAGGCGATACTGAGTACGTTCCTAAGGGGACCGCTATTGAAGAATCAAGAGAAAGCGTAGACTCCCAATCTGAGGATTCGCTCCATGGTAATTCACCTCAACTATCACCAATCAAAGAAGTAAATCTCAATGATAAGATTCCAACTCCACCTCATTCTTCCACTCACACGTCCATTGACATTATTATCACACCTTGTCCACCTCATGTATCAACTCAATCCATCACAACTTTATCTTAACCACCACTTGTTACTATTGTTTCTCAAACATTCACCATTGGCCCTCCACCCGTTTCATCTCAACCACAGTTAACTATTCCCGTTTCCACCCCTATCTTCATTGATTCAACCATCGCTCCTACTATCTCCATCCAACCTTTTGTGTGTGTGAACGTACCTGATATGGGGGCTGAACCTTCAAGTCTTTCAACTCATCTTTCACCTCCTATTTCCCATATTATTCATGATGAGCCACACATGGTCTTCTGTGATGAAAAAGACGAAGATATTGAAGGTTTTACTTACAGTCCCTTCAAAATTAGGAATGAGAAGGATGATGTGGAACACGTAGTAACATGGCAAATTCAATCTCTACATGAAAAGATTGACCAACTGCTTCAATCTACCAAAGCCTCATCCCTTGACGATTATGCCAAATCATCTGTTGAGTCTCTCTTTGAGCACATCATGAAACAACATACTACTTTTGTTGAAACCTCAAGTAAAATTGTTGCTGATTATGCTGAGGTTTGCAAGTCTACGACCGAGAAAGTCGATAAAATAATTAAGAAGACCATTTCCTTCATGGAAAACTTCCAAACCACCTATAATTCCAACACTACATTCTCTAATGAAGCATTGAAGAGTTTGGGATCTCTCTTCAAGAATGAAAAGACAAAACTCCAAGAGCTTCCATCTGGTCTTAAAACTGACCATGAGTACTTTCAAGCCCCTCTTTCGTCTCATCTTTCTCAGCTTAAAGACAAACTTGAGAAGGAAATCTCTCTTAAGGATTCTCTCACTCTTAAAACCGAAGAAGCCAAGGTGTCAAGCACCAGACATGAAGCTTTGTAGAAATAGGTCAATGATCTGTTATCTGAGAGGGAAATCATGCGAAGTTGTATCTCAGATGTTACTAGCATGCTCTTGGATATCATTGACACCAGGGACTCAATGATCTCCATCACCATGCGTAAGCATCTCCAAGAGAAGTTAAAGCCTATCTTTTCCATGCTTCATCACCTTGAAGGTGTTTCTGATCAAGCCTTTAATCCGAACCAAGGGGGAGAAAGGATGACTGGTTGTGGATCAAGAAAGGAGAATATGGCTGGTCGATCAAGAAAGGTAGAACCAAAAGCGCCTAAAGCTCCTGTCAAGCCAATTGTCAAGCCGGAACCGAAAGACAAGGAAACTCTGCTTCATGATGAACTACTCATTGACAATGATAGCATAGAAGAAATTACTGAAGAAGAACTGAAAAGGCAAAAACTTCGTGCAGCTGAAATGGATGAGCATTAGCGAATCATCCGTGAAGCTGAAGAAAAAGAAAGGGTTGAGAAAGAAGCATAGGCTACTTTACAGAGTAAAAATCTGTTGTTTCCCAAGTGGACTCTTAAGCGAATCCAGAGTGATGTTGTTGATCTTCCAAGCTAGTACTGGTTGGAACTTCTAGTTTCTTTCAAGCTTTAGAATACACGAGACTCTCAACTTGATATGCCTATTACTCCAAAAGCTTTCCGTTTTCATTCCTTTGTTAAAGTATCTCATGCTCCAATCACAGATGGTTTAGCTAATCATATGCTTTCTCATTCCATCTAAAGCATATGAAGACCCAATATGAAACTTAGTAATTAAGCAAGATTACTTGTGTGAAAGTTACAGGACCAATTGAGACTGGTAGCTTTCCAAAGGCTAAGTTTAAAGTTGCGAGAGGTTCACAAATCAATGCTTCGAGTTTACCCTTGCAGATCTTACATGCCTCAACCCAAACGATTGGTTCACTCTTTACAACATGTTGCTGAAGAACAAGGATAAGTATGACCCTGTCATGTCTCATCTTAAGAATATGATACAGTCCTACATCCAGGAGATTAGGGAGATGGATGTTGAAGTTGCTGCAATCCTGAAAAAGAGACCTTCGATAGTACTTAAGGAAAATCCTAAGGATTTTGAAAAAATTGAAGCCAGAGAAACTCTATAGTGGAGATTGGTTCGTGGTCTATTCTGCTAGGGAACGATCTGGAGCAGATTTTCATAAAGGTTGCCTCTATCTTTCAGATAAGCATCTCTACACCACAACCTTTCTTGAGTTTATTTTGGAGCAAGTGAGCAAGTTCAGAGGCATCAAGAAAGATGATATCAAGAGTTTCTCTTATATGGTTCTTTGGTATATTGAAGTTCGTCAAGCAATTTATGCCATGATACCGAAGGTATATGAAGTACAAAAACGAATCCAATGCTGAAAGGTTCGAGCCTCAATTGACGCAAAGGGGGAGATTGTTGAGTATATTAGATTGTGTCATTGGGCTGTTTTGTTTATGTCCATTATGTTCATGGTATGGACCTGTCTAGCCGTATTTAAGATTAGGGTTATAGTTTAAATAGTTCATGCATGCAACCTTAGTTGTTAAAATTGGATTGATCTTTTCCTTGTAACCCTAGCACGCCTCTACAGTAGGAATTCTTTATAGAGTTCTTCTAAGGTTGTGGTTTATTAATCATTCAACATCTTTGATCCATATTTTGTTCATGTTTTTTTTACATCGTGCAATTCTTTACTTGTTAGAACCTAATCTATTCAAAAGGATTTCCTATTTAACAAGCTTAATTTGGGGGTGCGATTTGCGAATCGAGAAGAGTTTTTGAGTGAAATTTCAAATTCTATAGCCATTATATCTAAAGAACTTGATCTGACAACATATTATAAGGGTATGCCATACCGACGTTGCTTTTCTCACCCAAATTCGAGATGCACAGAATGCCACATTTTTCTGAAGTTCCAACAGTGACTTCGTTGTAACACAAGACCACGGCATGGCCATGAAAATTTTCGCTATCTAGTTTTTAAATTATTGGAAGACCATGGCATAGGGAGTCTCAGATGCAAATTTTGGTTACTCGTTTACCACTATTTGGAGTCCGTTCTCTTGCGTGCATTTGAAGATCATTCTTGTAGTAGTCCCGCGTACTGTTTTCCAGTTATTTCACAATATATTAACCATAAAACTTTCGATTTTGACCTCGCCACTTCTATCCCAAGGGAATCTGTTTCTTTTTCTAGCTAAAACAATCTTATGCGAGCATCAATGTTTAATTGAGCCAATATATGTTCTAGGGTATTTGTGGCTTCCTTTTCCTAGTTAAATCATGGGACAAAAACATAACCTCGTGTAGTTTGAGGGACATAATAAGTTTAGCATCGTGTATCAGAAATGTATCTAAGAAAACATATGTAGTCATTGCACCTTAGACTAATGCCTTTAACCAATAAGGGTTGAAGTTATGCTCCCTTGATTAAGCATATATTTTTTTTTCTTTTTAGGTTTTTAGTTGTTTAAAAAATAGAGATAGAGATAGATAGAGATAGAGAGAGAGAGAGAGAGAGAATGAGAAATATTGAGTGAGGATTGAAGATATTGAAGAATAAAGTGAAATTGACAAAAGTCAAATGAGTATTTTATTTTATTGTGATTTTTATTATTTATGTTCTTTTTCTATATATATGATTGTCGGCTTAATCAAAATTTACCTTGAGGTTAAGAAACATTTATGAGGATATCTTCGAAGGTATGCATAAAATGAATGTTGTTCAAAATAACTGGGAAACGTGTATGAGGATTGTAAGTATTTAGGATTAGGGAAGTACTTAGGAATATTAGACACAATTGCTAGCTAAGGTTTTGATGTGATGGTATAATGATTATAAAATCAGTTTTGCTTGGGGTCAAGCTAAAGTCAAGTGTGGGGTATTTTGATATTTTCATATTTATCATAAATTTTGTGCATTACCTTAATATTTTTCGCTACAATTGTTCTTACCTAAGGATAAAAGGTGTTTAATATATTTAAAATATATTTTGAAGCAACAAATACATGCTCATGATTAAAAGGAAGCAAAATGTAGAGCTGGAGGCAGGAAAATTTGATCGAGTCAACTAAAATTCAAGAACTAAAGGATTTTGAAGCCCACAACATCGAGATATGTAGGCACGTCGTGGAGCCTATTTGCCACGGCATAGGAAGCAGATTTTAGAAACTATATATATATATATATATATATATATATATATATATATATAGTTTTGAAGAGATTTTAACACAAAATACTTCTAAACCTTTTTTACTATGTTTTTCATCATGCTTTTCAAAGTGAATTTCGTTTTTATTGTTTGTTTCCAAAAGTTATGGGCTAAAAACCCTAACTTCTTTTTAGAGTAGAGGAACTTTATGAGTTTGCTGATTTAATGGATTATGGATTATTGTTAGTTGCTTATTTGTTATGATAGCTTGATAAATAGCCTTTTGTGTTATGATAGCTTGATAACTCCCTTTTCTATTTAATACTAAGTTTTACTCAGATTAGATGATCATTATGTTTTGGTAAACTTGAATCTTATGAATTTGTGACCATCAAATTTATAAGACTAATGTTTTGATCATCAACTCAGGGTTAAATAGAAAATTGAGTAAATTAATGTGAAAGTTATTATATGATGATCATTGATGTATTAAATTGATGTTTTTATCCATTAATTCCAATGTTCAAGTCTAGCATAATTCGAACTTAACACTAGTATTCTTGTTTATTTTTCCACTTGATCAATGAATGAATGAACTTGTTTTATTAAAATATTAGCCATTTTATCATAAACTCTAGTCAACTTATGAATCGGTAAGCAATAGCAACTTAATCCATTGCACTTTCAAAGAAATCAACCACAAGAGTAAAGTGAATCGTATCTAAATGGAAGTATCTTTAATATATTTTTTTAAACTTAATTTTAATTAGTTTTTGTTAATTAATATGTTTGGTGATAATTGCTTTATGTAATTTGCACTTGCAAAAACCAGAGAACCCCCCCCCCCCCCCCCCAATTTACTTACTTTAAAATTAGTTAAATTTTAGTAGAATTTTAGTTGTTAATCATTCTTGTTCTTCTTCTGTTTAACACCCTACTTTTTAACATTCATAAAATATAAACCTTTCAAAACAACCCATTTATTAAAGAGGTGTTGATAAAATCGTTGTTTCCAAAACATTAATCTAAAACCGGAATCATTTACATATAGTTTTCGAAAACATTCACATTATCAGAGTATTCTAGAAACCATAAGTTCCAAAAAGACGAGGATGTGTACGGTCATGCCTTCACCTTCCTACGATCCACTGAAGTACTGAAACCATAAATTAAAACTGTAAGCATAAATTTTAGTGAGTTCCCCGAAGTACCAACACGCAAACAATAATACATATACAAAAGATCATACTATGGGTCCAATCAACCATCAGGTTGGAATACCCCAGGCCCTCCACCATCGGGTTGGAATGACGACATACTACATGTCCAATCAACCATCGGGTGAGAATACCCTCAGGCATCAACCATCGGGTTGGAATGCCAACATACTATGTGGTCAATCAACCATCAGGTTGGAATACCCTAGGCCTCAACCATCGGGTTGGAATGCCTACATACTATGGGTCCAATCAACCATCGGGTTGGAATACCCTCAGCCCTCAACCATTATGTTGGATTCCTAACATATTGTGGGTCCAATCAACCATCAGGTTGGAATACCCTTGGCCCTCAATCAGCGGGTTGGAATGCCCCGACCTGTTGGCTTCGCACAAATCAGAGTAGTACAAACAACCAATCAAACATATGCATATATATATATATATATATATATATATATATTATATATATATATAATATATCAGATAATCATATAAGAGTCTACAGCCATTCAAATAGATCTAACAGATCACTAAGCATAGCATCATCCTATCTACCAGGATACCAATCTAACAGACCATAACAACATAACAACATCCTATCTACCAGGATACCGATCTAACAGCTCATAACAAACATGCATGATTGGATATCAATCCCTGGGTTCGCATTGGTACCTTCAACCCACAAGTACAGTGAGGAAAACTCACCTCACATGTATGAATCATACAAACGATCTGTGACTGGAAATACTAAGCCAAACACTCCATCAACAGCTGCTCTCTCGAATGATCTCTGACTGCGGAACTGCTAGAGCCCACGCTATTAAATACCATAAATGACAATCCATCAATAACTAGATCCTAAATCACACCATGAGTACAATTTATGGTAAAATACCTTTTTACCCTTCCTCAAACTTGGCCAAGACTAAGGACTACACTAAACGACCAAAAGCTCAAGATCCAAAATAAGCATGTAAGGCCCAATTATGGCCCAATTTTCCAAATTGGTCCCAATCCCTTGCATGGACTTCACTCAAGAAAATCCAACAAGACAAAA